AAGGATAAATATATATATAGAAACAGCCAGAGAGAGTGAGAGAGAGAGAGAGAGAGAGAGAGAGAGAGAGAGAGAGAGAAAGAACATAAACAACCAAATATATTAAATAAACTACGGAAAACTAGTGGAAAGTTATAGTCTGATTCCTAATTGCTGATTCCTGATTCCTCCGTCTCTACGAAAACCCATAACTGATTAAAAGGCTAATCATAGGTGAGCACGAACGACGCACGGAGACAGTCTAGACTTGTAACTACAGGTATAGAGAATTTAGGTGAGAGTTGAGATTTTCCGCCGCACACCAGCTGAGCAGTTTAACCCGAGGCCATGACAGTAACTAACATATAGTATACATCCGGCTCGTAAGTGACACATACGCGCGCGCGCACGCACGCACGCACACACACACGCTCGCACGCACGCACGCACGCACACATACGCACACACACGCACACACAAACGTACACACACGCAGGCACGCACACACACACACACACACATACACACCCACACACACGCGCGCGCGCGCACGCACATGCACACACGCACGCACGCACGTACGCACACACGCACGCACGCACACACGCACGCACGCACATGCACACACGCACGCACACACATGCGCACACGCACGCACGCACATGCACGCAGACACACACGCACGCACGCACGCACGCACACATCCACGTCAGTTGCATGATCGGAAATACGCTCTTTATTATATATTTTTAAACACATTTGTTTAAATATCGTTCTTTCGCGTATGCAGGTAGAATTGTGTGCGGATTCACGTGCGTGTGCGCGTGTGTGTACGTGCGTGTGCGCGTGTGTGTACGTGCGTGTGCGCGTGTGTGTACGTGCGTGTGCGCGTGTGAGTACGTGCGTGTGCGCGCGTGAGTACGTGCGTGTGCGCGCGTGAGTACGTGCGTGTGCGCGCGTGAGTACGTGCGTGTGCGCGTGTGTGTACGTGTGCGTGCGATTTGCTCTTTCGTTCACAACTATGGAACCTGCGTAATATCTAGCAGTGCTCCCCTATCTCTCTTCTTTCTCTCTCTCTCTCTC